GACTAGATGACCTCCAAGGTGCCTTCCCACACTGTTGTTATTCTAAAATGTTACAGGGTCTCCTGCCCGAGCAGGGGGGCTGGACTAGATGACCTCCAAGGTCCCTTCCCACACTGTTGTTATTCTAAAATGTTACAGGGTCTCCTGCCCGAGCAGGGGGGCTGGACTAGATGACCTCCAAGGTCCCTTCCCACACTGTTGTTATTCTAAAATGTTACAGGGTCTCCTGCCCGAGCAAGGGGGCTGGACTAGATGACCTCCAAGGTGCCTTCCCACACTGTTGTTATTCTAAAATGTTACAGGATCTCCTGTCTGAGCGGGGGGGGGGGCAGGGGGGGCTGGACTTCATCTGTTAACTTTCCGACCAACAAAAGCAACGGGGAAAAAGCTCTCTTGCGCTCCTCATTTAACGACTGCGCCCATTCGCTGGCAAGAAAAGGGGGCAAAACTCGCTTTCCCCTGTCCCCTTTAGCAAGATAAATGGGGAGGGGCTCCATTGTGTCCATAAGTCGAGGACTCCACACACACACACACACACACACACACACTCGGAGGGGAGGGGGCCTGGCCAGTCCCGCAGGCGCAGCCACCTCGCCAGATCCCCGCGGAGGGAGACGTGCATCCCCGGCCCGGCGGCGGACCCCCTGCCCGCATCGGGGACCCCCGCCCCTGCCCGCTCACCTCCACCTTCCCGCGGGCCAACCACTGTAGGCGGCTCCGGTCGATTTGCACGGCGCGCAGCGGCGCCACGGCCGAGAGCAGCCCCAGCAGCAGCAGCGGCAGAAGCAGCGGCGTCCCCATCCAGATGCTGAGCGGAGCTGGAGCTGGAGCCGAGCCGGGCGCGCTTCGCTTTGACACGGAGCTTCCTTCGCCGCTGCAGCTGTTGCCACGTCAAGCCAGGCGGGGCGGGCCCGAGGAGGATTTCCCCGCCCAGGGTGGGTCCCAGGCGGGTCCCGCTGCGCCCCTGCCGCGCCTCCTCCCCGCCTTCCCCGGGGTCTTGTAGTCTTGGGACTACAACCTCCATCGCTCCCAGGCGGGTAGGAGCTCAGCGCTGGGCTCCCACGAAGCTGGCAGCTATCATGAGGAGGTGAGGGGGCATGAGTCCCCTCCCCCCCAGGGGCAGTGCGCCCCTTTGAAGCCCCCCCTCCCACCCAAACCTCTCCAGTTATGATCACAGTGGAGCCCCGAAGTTATGTCGCTGAGTAAGACATTGGTGAAACTGAGTTTTGTCCCGTTTTAGGACTTCCCTGCGCTCGGTTGGGAAGAGAATCAGGGCTGTTGTTAAGTGAGATGAAGGGACCTTGGAGGTCTTCTAGTCCAGGGTTCTCCAACCTTGGCAACTTTAAGACTTGTGGACTTCAACTCCCAGAGTTCCTCATCTGCAAGGCTTAAAGTTGCCAAGGTTGGAGACCCCTGTTCTAGTCCAATGCCCTGCTCAAGCAAGAGATCTACAAATGGATCCCCAACCTCATCTTGTGAACCTCTGGTCATGGAGCACTCACAATGTTGGAGGGCAAGGCCATTCCACCGACGGTTCTTCAGGAAATCTCACGTCCCTGCCAGGAAATTTCTCCTTAACATTTTTTTAACCCTTGTCATTCACATGTCATTCTGTCCCTCCTTTGGCTTTTAGCCATGATGAGTTGCCCATGATTAATTGGCCATGGCGAGTTGACTATGGCGAGTTGACTATGATTAATTGGCCTTGGCAAGTTGACCATGGCAAGTTGACCATGGTGAGTTGCCCAGGATGAATTGGTCATGATGAGTTGGCCATGATAAGTTGACCATGGAGAGTTGACCATTATTAATTGGCATGGCAAGTTGCCCATGGCGAGTTCCCTGTGATAAGTTGGTCATGATGAGTTGGCAATGATGAGTTGGCCATGGTGAGTTAGCCATGATGAGTTGGCCATGGTGAGTTGGCCATGGTGAGTTGCCCATGATGAGTTGCCCATGATGAGTTGCCCATGGTGAGTTGCCCATGATGAGTTGCCCATTATTAATTGGCCTGGCAAGTTGCCCATGGCGAGTTCCCTGTGATAAGTTGGTCATGATGAGTTGGCAATGATGAGTTGGCCATGGTGAGTTAGCCATGATGAGTTGGCCATGGTGAGTTGGCCATGGTGAGTTGCCCATGATGAGTTGCCCATGATGAGTTGCCCATGGTGAGTTGACCATGATGAGTTGCCCATGGTGAGTTGACCATGGTGAGTTGACCATGATGAGTTGCCCATGGTGAGTTGCCCATGATGAGTTGACCATGGTTAATTGGCAT